GGGGAGTGGGAGGCTGCAAACAGTTACTGTGCTTGGCTGCTAACCAAAAGGCTGGAGGTTCAAGTCCACCCAGAGGCACCTCAGAAGAAAGACTTGGTGATCCACTTCCGAAAAATCAGACCTTGAAAACCCTATTGAGCACAGTTCTACTCTGACACACGTGGGGTCTTCATGAGTCAGAATCCATTTGACAACAGCTGGTTACGGGTTTATTTTGCAGACTATGAATGAGGTCCCTTTCTTGAGAATTAGCGTGTGCTTCAAGAAGACTTTCTAAGGGCACGCTTTTGGGAATTTAAAATGATTGTTAAAATTTGGGCTGAAATGGCCTGCTGATTTTAATAAATGGCCAGGTGTCAGCCCTGTGGCAGATGGCTCTTCTTGGAAACGTGGCCCCATTGATTGCTGTGTCTCTACAGACTCCATCCTAAAAAGCGTCTCAGGGCTCAGAAGCCTCCTGCCTGTACCTAGAATGTGTCTTGCTTTAGCTTGTTGTTTTAATTCTATTGATCGCCTGCTTTAAAATCAAAGGCGAGTGCTGCAAACTTAGGACTTGGTGTTTCAGGGAAATCCTGTGTGATTCTCAGTCCCCTGAAAGGCAGCCATTGATTTCTTTTTTGGCGCACATCCCCAGCAGTGTCTGCCAGCCACGTCTCAGACTGTGGCACTTCTCTGAGACACAGCAGCTCAGGGCTAAGCCATGCCCCAAGTTATCTAAAGGACCTGTGTTAGAGGAAGATCCTGAAGCAGGGTGTGTGTGTATGTGAGACGTCCTGCCCCTGACAAACAGGGTCACAGCCCACACAGGTCGGGATTAACAGTTTGTACAGCCTGGAGAATGTGCAGTGACTGGCACAGGGGCCAAAGCGTGTATGCTGTCCTGAACTCCCCCAAGGCCTGTGGAATTTTCCAGTTCTCAGAATGCCTGTGGTGTTCACTGAGAAGGCAGTATAGGAAGGACCCTGACCTCAGCCTCCAGCTTCCTGTGTGTGCATAAGCCTCTTCCTGCTTACCTTCCCCAGCTCCCTTCTCCAGCTACTTCAGTCAGGAGACACCCAAGCTCAGAGGTCCCACCTGCAGGCTGGCCCATGTGTCCCCTTGGAGACCGTGGTGCCCTCTTCCCACCCCCACGCCACAGACTTATCAATTGTATTATAATTACCTGTCCGTTTTTGTGCCCCCCTCCTCCACAGTCCCCAGACTGTGAGCTCAGTGAGGGCGGAGACCCTCTCTTTAGTTTTGTTTCCCAGGGCTTGGCATGTGGCAGGTGCCTGGAGACGGCTTTTGTTGGAGAGGCAGATGGGGAGGCGGTGTGAGGGACTTGGCCGGCCCATTGCCCCAGTAGGGCCTCCATGGGCTCTCCCTCTGCCAAGAACACTGCCACTGCATTGGCAAGTCAGGGTTCCAGACATGATTAAAACACTGCCCGGGCACCTCCCTGCAAGGACCAGAACGGCACGCAGAAGCCAGTTCTTCCTCAGATGGGGACGCCCTGCCGCTGAGTCTGGAGCAGCCCTGACTAGATTCCTAGAGCCGCCACAACAAATCGCCATGAACTAGGTGGCTTAGGAAGGAGTTCCCAGGTGGTGCAAACGGTTAAGCGCTTGAAAGCCTGACAGTTTGAATTCATCCAGAGGCACCTCAGAAAACAGGACTGGCAATCTGCTTCCGAGAGGTCACAGCCTTGAAAATCCTATGGAGAAATTTTACTCTGACACACTTGGGGTCACCGTGAGTGGGAATCGACTTGACAACAACTAACAACTGTTGGCTTACAACAATAGAAATTTATTCTCTCACAGTTTTGGAGGTTAGAAGTCCAAAATCAAAGAATTGGCAGAGCCATACGCCCTCTGAAGGTTCTAGGGGAGGATTCTTGTCTCTTCCTAACAGAAGTCGGCAAACCTTGGCATTCCTTGGCTTGAGGCTGCATCACTTCTGTCTCTGCCTGCATCTTCACGTGGCCTTCTTCCCTCCGTGTGTGTCTGTGACTCTGAATCTCTCTCTCCTTATAAGGATGCCAGTTATTGGGTTTAGGGCCCACCTTCATCCAACATGACCTCATCTTAACTTGCTTACATCTGCAAAGACCTTATTTCCAGATAAATTCATACTCACAGCTAGAGAGTTAGGATTTCAGCATATCTTTTTGGGGGACACAGTTCAACTCGCAATAAGCTCATTACGCTTCCCCCACCCCCACCCCGGTGTCTCCCTGCCACATCAGCACTCTCTCCTAGTTTACTCACTAACACATTGGCTTCTGTATTCTGGGGTGTCTCGCCACCACCCCGCAGGCTCCACAAGGCAGGGTCTTGGCTGGGTGCCCTGGAGAAGGGGATGGGGCAGAGGAGAGCTCACACCTGGCCTGTGGGGCAGAGGCCCGGCCCATCATTGTAGCAGCCTTGGACCCTCACACTTCTTCCCACTGGGCTTCCCACAGGTGTTCGGCTTCTTCAAGGGCATGTCCTTCCCCCTCGCCAGCATTGCTGTTTACAACGCAGTGGTGTTTGGGGTCTTCAGTAACATGCAGCGGTTCCTCAGCCAGCACCGCTGCAGGGAGCTCGAGGCCAGCCCCTCTCACACCCTGTCTGACCTGCTCCTGGCCAGCATGGTGGCTGGCGTGGTCTCAGTCGGGCTGGGCGGGCCGGTGGACCTCATCAAGATCCGGCTGCAGATGCAGACACAGCCTTTTCGAGAAGGTAAGAGGCCAGGGGAGGAGGGGCCTGGTGTCTGGGGGCTTGTGACCCTCTCCTGGTTTGCCTGATCTGGGGTGCAGTTGGTAACATTCTTTTTATTGAGCAAGGCACCTATGTTGTCATGTAACAGTTTGTAATTATTATTTCATCTGTAATAGTAGCTACCAAGCTCTTTAGAAGCGAGGATGGTGAGACTTCATCTCATATACTTTGGACATGTTATCAGGAGGGACCAGTCCCTGAAGAAGGACATCATGCTTGCTAAAATAGAGGGTGAGCAAAAAAGAAACAGATTCTCAATGAGATGGATTGACACAGTGGCTGCAACAATGGGCTCAAGCATAACAACGATTGTGCGGATGGCGCAGGACCAGGCAGTGTTTCGTTCTGCTGTTCATAGGGTAGCTGCAAATCAGAACCAACTCAATGGCACCTAACAACAGTAGCTACCATTGATTAAGTATTTATTATGTGCCAGGCACCCTGCTAAGAGCTTTGCATGTGTTCTCTTAAATTCATCTTCATAATAATTCTTCAAGACAGATACCTTACTATCTCCATTCTACATATGAGAAAACTGAGGCTCCGAGAAATTAAGTTATTTACTCAAGGACACACAATTCATGACTGATGAGTCAGATCCAGCTACATAATTTGTGAGATATAATCAAAAATGCAAACGCAAGGGCTGCTTGTTCAAAAATTATTAAAAATTTTACAACAGCAGCTGCAGAGCCTTAAAACAAGCCTGGGGCCCTAGGTGACAGCACAGGTCTCATCCCCATGAAGCTTGCTCTGGGCGTCATGGGGACTCAAACCCACATCTGTCTTATTCCAAAGCCTCACACTGGGCTGGCCACAGGAGCAGGAAGGGGCCAGTCTTCTCCTCACCCTCCAGTTAGAGCTTCATTTCTTGGTGTGAGATGGAACTACTCTGCACCATCAACCAAAAAAGAAACCAAACCCATTGTGGTCAAGTGGATTCCGACTTATAGTGACCCTATGGCGACCCTAAAGGACAGAGTAGAACTGCCCTATAGGTTTTCCAAGGAGTGGCTGGTAGATTTGAACTACCAACCTTTTGATTAGCAGCCAAGCTTTTAACCACTGCACCACCAGGGCTCCATACCATTAGCCAGCCACGTCCCCATTTTCTCCTGTCTGGGAAAGGGTTTTCCACAGCTTTTCCTGGGAGTGATTTTGATAAAGGAGCATAGAAAGAACGGGAGGGGACTTTCTGTATAGATGGAAGACAGCCGACTCTAGAGGAAGGGAGAACTGGGGACTTAGAAGATATGTTTCAATTCCTTGGGATTTGATCTCAGCTCTGCCATTCATTTCCCTCTGTATCCTCAGGCAAGTTGCTGCCCCTTCCTCAGCCTTGGTCTCCTTTTGTGTTTAATGGTAGGGCTGGATTCAGGGTCTCTAGGATCCCTTCCTGTCACCTCAGATATCTGAGTAGGGCTGACAGTCTCCTGCTTGCTTCTTGGAGTTTGTGAATAAGACTCCTGTCACTGGCAGCCCATTGGAATGGCTTCACGTGACCCCTCTGCCCACAGAGGCTGGGGTTCCTGTGCCCCGTGGCCAGAGCCAGAAAGCTCACCCAGGAGCATCCTGGCCCAGCACGCCATCCCCCGTTCCAGGTGCCTGATTCAGGCTGCACTTCCTCTGAGTTGGTGCTCCCCAGGGCAAACAGAGGGCTACGGGACGGTGCCTGCTGGAGCACTCAGAGCCCAAGGCCACTGCGCTACCTGCATGTGGGGAGATGCAGGACAACACACTGGCTGCTCCTCCAGGGGGTCGCAGAACGCATCCCCTTGAGGGCCACCCAGGGATGCCGGGCAGGGGGAGTCCCACCTTCACCTCCTTAACACACTGAGGAGTAGTGTCTCAGTACGAGTTAGTTTGGTCAAAGGGTTACACGTTTGAGTCGTTGGGTGCTGTCGAGTCGATTCTGACTCCTAGCGACCCTATGTGACAAAGTAGAGCTGCCCCATAGGATGTCCTAGGCTTTACTCTTTACAGAAGGAGATCACCAGCCCTTTCTCCCGGAGAGCCACTGGGTGGGTTCAAACCACCAGCCTTTCAGTTAGCAGCCAGACGCTTAACAGCTGCACCACCAGGGCTCCTTACAGCTTTGAGAAATGTTTGAAACTTGCCGATCTACTTCTATCCCAGAGGAAAAGCAAAGATACAGAAAAGTGGAGGGCGTCAGGAGCAGGCTGAGATCCCAGGGGTCCCGACCCCTAGGCTAAGTTCTCTGCTGTATCCTGCCTGCTTCAGAGAATCTTGTCTTAGTCTCTGATGAAGAGGAAATCTGGTCCCAAAAAACACTCTAGGGTCCCGATGTTGGAAGAGGCTCTGTGATGAGGCTCCTCCATTCCTCTGGGCGCCTGTGTCTCCTTCACAACCTGAGTGCCTCATCCCTGGATGGGGAGGAAATAGGCGTAGGGGTGTGTGTGTGTGTGTGTGTGTGTGTGTGTGTGTGTGTGTCTATGGGTGGGGAAGGGGGAGGGGGTCTCACCCAGCCTGGATATACAGGAAGCAGAGCCTGGAACATTTGCAGGCAAATTAATTGGTGAGCTTTTTTGACACTGTTTGGCTCCTGCCCTTACCCACCCCCACCTTGCCCCTTCAGAGGTGACAGACTTGGCAGGCCAGGCCCTTAGTGATAGGAGGTCCAAGGCCAGGCTGGAAGCCTCTAAAGACTGAAGGGAGGGTGGGAGGCAGCCAGGGGAGTAGCCAGACCTATAAAGGGCCTCAAAGCTAGATGTGCATCTCCTAGCCAATTTGTAGCTGTCACTGCTGTTAGATGCTCATACCAGATACTAGGTGAAGTGCTATTCATGCATCATCTCATTTAATAGCCACCATGACCGTGCAAGGCATGTATGATGGTTATCCCTGTTCATTTATCCAGTAAATAATAGTTATGCACCTACTATGTGCCAGGCACAGGGCCAGGTGCTGGGGACAATGTGGTGAACAAAGACTCAGCCCTGCCCTTCTTCTAGTGCTCCATCCAGCAGATGGACAGACAGGAGCTGGGTCACTGCACACGGAGGACAGGGAAGAGAGTGGAACAGGCTCTCATAGGCTGGGGTCAGGAAAGGTCTGGGGCAGGGTAGGGAGCTGGGGTGGGAGGGGACCAGGGCAGCAGACCCTGAACACTGAGGGTCACCCAGGCCTCCTCACCTGTGCTGTGATGCCTGGGGCATGGTCCACCCTGGCTGGGACTCTGCAGATCTGCCCATCTGGGAAGTCTGGATCCTTCTAAGTCCTTGTCTCTTTGATAAGCTCTCTGAGCAGTGAAACATAGAGACCAGTGTGCCCTCCCCGCCCCACTCCCTGACACCCTTTCCACTATGGGAGACACCGACAGCGTCTCAGGAGGGACATGATTTCCTGATCCCGCTCTTGGTTTGTATTGACACTAACAGAAACAACTGACTCAACCACACCAAGGATCACGATCAGGCAACGTTTCATTCTGTTCTACATAAGGTCACCACGAGTCCAGCCGACTCAACGGCAACGGACTCATTGAGCCTGCCCGTTGCCTCAAGTTGTCAGCTCATCCTTGGTGCCAGAAGAAAACCGGTTCTCTTCAATAGACCCCTTGAGGCAGCAACAGAAAATAAACATGTGTTTTCTCTGTCCTTCCCCAGTGTACCAAGAAACTGGCGTTTGGAGAGCACAGAGAAGGGTCTTAGTGAAAGGCAAACATTTTTCAGTGTTACAAAGCTCAAAGTCATTAGCATCTGGTCCCAGAGGCTTAGCTATGGGAACAAAGACAAAGAAGGTGTACCTGAGTGAGAGAGGAAGGGTGGGAATCCTGCCAGGAGGATCCACACACCTTAGTGATAGGGGCCAAGCCAGTAACAGTCACACAGTGGGGGCTGAGTAGCAGTATTTACTGGGTCATTATTACATGCCAGGCACTATGCTAATATCTGTACATGTGTTAATCTTCCCAACAACCCGATTCCTAGACATTACTGAATGGGAGCCTGAGATCTCTGCCCTAGTGCCAGATGGACTGAGACTCAGACCCAGATAGTGTGACTCACAGCCCACTGATACTGCTTCTGCCCCAGAATTTTGCAGAAGCTGAGGCTGCAATAACTTTGGTTAACAATGGACCACCTAGACCTTTGCACAAAATTATCATGCATAGAACTGGTTTTTTCCTGACTTTTTTTAAGGGGGAGAGGAGGAGAGTGGTCTGGGAGCAGGTCTCCAAAATGTTGTTCAAGTAATGGGCATGGGTCATGGGTTCCAAAGATTGGGTCTGAAATCTGTGGCTTTGGGCTGCCCCTCTCTGCATGGTCCACTCTTCCTTACCTCCCACCCCTGATGCTTGGGGGAAGGTCTTTGGTAACTACAGGCAGGATGAACTACTGGGGAAGGGGCAGCAGCGGATGGGGCATGACAGGCAGTGGGTCAACAGGCAGTACTTTCTGCCAGGGAGCTCTCCAGAAAATGAGGAGAAATGTGGTTTTTCTTTAACTTGTTCCTCAGGAACCCTCTAGACCAGAGGTAGAAAACTCAGATACTCATTGGGACCAGAGAGGTAACACAAGTGAGCAGAGTCACCTGGAAAATGTTCCCTTTCCCATTGCTCTTGAAACCCTCCTAATGTGTTTTGTTTTTCCTGTTTTGATTGAAACATGGACATATTTCACTTTCCGTGTAACTCTGATATTAGAAAAGCAGCAGTATTCACTAAATATGTCGGCTTTGGTGTCTGGGAGGCAAGAGGGAGTGGTGGAGACTGCGGCAAGCTGTGCCTTGTCCAGGAAGGTGTCCGCAGCTCTGCTCCAGCTGACTGTTGCCAGGTGGCCTGATGTGGTCAGATCTTCTGATTTTTAAGAAAAGGCAGAAAGCTAGATTTTTCTGTGAGAATTTTCAATTGGAAATTGTCGGGTAAATCAATTAAAAACAAATAAAACACTGCAGTTCAAAGCTGTGTGTCCTGGACAGAATGTGATGGAGTTGAGTGC